CGCCCTGACCACCTGGCCATCTTAATAAGATCGCTACCTCTTGAAATAACGAGTCGTTACTTTGGTTTACCATTCCTTCTGAATATAATCACTAACAAAAATCTATGATTGTAGAATTTATTTCATTTGAATTCTGATTACTCCAGATCGATAGTTACATATGTATTGATATGAACCAGAAAGGAACCTAACTTATTGAAAATATTGATGATGTAATCCAAGAATAAAATTTATTTATCACATGCTAGGTTAAATCAGTTCTCGTCAATTATTTACTTCTTTTTTTAAATTGGGACGTCAAATAATTCTAAGTTAGCACAAAAATATGTAGCCTAGTGGTTAGCCTACCGGACTATGAATTTGATGGTCCATGGTTTGCGTCCCATTGCTGCAAAATCGTGCATTGGGGCCATGGATCAAAACTCATCATTCAATTAGAGTGACCCAAAAGTTTTGGTGGTCGTTGTTGACTGGCTGCATTCTCTCTCTTGTCTATCTGTTCACAATTATAGACGGCTAACGTAGATATCCCTGTAGGTTTGCGCTAGTGTCCGAAACAAAGAAAAGATACTTGCCTGAACATAGTCACCGCTGGCACAGCATTTAGGGTTATATGGTTATAGTATTTGGGTGTTAAAATGATTTCCTGAATCTACGTGTTTTCCTAACATCGCGAATAATTTTAAGTTAGGGTGTTGAAACGTACTAACTGATCACCAGTTCGAATCAATAAAATAAATTCCTGTTCATATGCTAATGAAACACTACAACTTGAAAGAAATTACGAAAACGTGACTTCCAGAGCTGCTTGTAAAGCGCTTACTACAAAAACAAAAAAAACAAAAATTGTGAACATACCAAAACACCACGAGTTACAAGATTACCACTTATCAGCTGACCCCAAAATAGACATTTCACGTGAGTTCGGTGTCATATAAGAGTTATAATCCTGTGGTCAAAAAGTATTACATTGACATTCTGCTGACCAAAGTAATTTAGATGAAACCTTGAAAGTCATGTCACGTAGTTACTGCCGTTTTCCATTATCGAATTTGACATTGCGCATGTCGTACTTCTTTACACTTTTCTACCTGTCAGATTTATCCTTACGAGTATGTGAAAAAGAAGACAGGTGAAAGAATAAAGATTTATGCCTTATTAAGTTTATCAAATTGCTTCGAAAAAATTAAATCCTATTAGCGAAAACGCACCAGTTGTAAAGGTTATAAAAAGCACCCCCTACAACAATCTTGATACTGAGAGTCCCGTGTTACATTGGTTTGAAAGAATATTCTATAACAATCTCCACTACGCATGTTTGGTAATTGGAGTGATTGACAGGATACGTGAAGGGTTTTTTTTGTTTTGTTTTGTTTTTCGTTGCACGTTCTCCGGTTAATTGTAACACAGAAAGATACCGTTTCGTATTAGATTTTGATTTTTTCGGTGAATATTTTCGAGTTTAATATCTCAGAATGTCTACCGGCTCATATTTTATCGGAAACAGCACGGCTCCGAGGTCAAGTGGTTGGTGGAGCTATGATCCCGGATTATCTGTAAGAGACACCGCACCAGAAAATATTAAACATCTTATCTCTGACCACTGGTCAAAGTTTCCAGCGGTTAACCCTATGTGGCATTATCTTTTAGGCCTCATCTATATCGTTTTAGGAATAGCCTCTCTTACTGGTCAGTCTGTTGTTCTTTATTTATTTGCCAAAACAAAACCTCTCCGGACACCCGCCAACATGCTCATTGTGAATCTTGCGTTTAGCGATTTCATGATGATGATAACACAGTTTCCGGTCTTTATCATCAACTGTTTAGGTGGAGGAGCATGGCAGTAAGATATTATATTTTATACTATCTTAACCTCAAAGTTCACCTCATTAGAAAAACGTAGTGTTCACAGTTCTTTATTTGTACAGTAAATTATAGCTATAAGTACGTTATACAAAGTTTTGAATCTTACTGTGTGGATAAAATGCTTCATTTCAACGTCATACTTAGCTTCAAAAGTGGTGTTAATTGTGTACATTGAGCTAGAGATATAATTGTAGGACCAGGTGTAGCTCCTCCGTAGAACTAAACATTTAGAGATATAATTGTACAACCAGGTCTAGCTCCTGTGTAGAACTACAGTTAGAGATATAATTGTACGACCAGGTCTAGCTCCTGTGTAGAACTACACAGCTAGAGATATAATTGTACGACCAGGTCTAGCTCCTGTGTAGAACTAAACAGTTAGAGATATAATTGTACGACCAGGTCTAGCTCCTGTGTAGAACTAAACAGCTAGAGATATAATTGTACGACCAAGTCTAGCTCCTGTGTAGAACTAAACAGAGCTAGAGATATGATTGTAGGACCAGGTCTAGCTCCTCTGTAGAACTAAACAGCTAGAGATATAATTGTGGGATCAGGCCTAGCTCGGTGTAGAACTAAACAGCTAGAGATATAATTGTAGGACCAGGTCTAGCTCCTGTGTAGAACTACACAGTTAGATATATAATTGTACTACCAGGTCTAGCTCCTGTGTAGAACTACACAGTTAGAGATATAATTGTACGACCAGGTGTAGCTCCTCTGTAGAACTAAACAGTTAGAGATATAATTGTACGACCAGGTCTAGCTCCTGTGTAGAACTACAGTTAGAGATATAATTGTACGACCAGGTCTAGCTCCTGTGTAGAACTAAACATAGCTAGATATATAATTGTACGACCAGGTCTAGCTCCTGTGTAGAACTAAACAGCTTAATATATAATTGTAGGACCTGGTCTAGCTCCTGTGTAGAACTAAACAGAGCTAGAGATATAATTGTACGACCTGGTCTAGCTCCTGTGTAGAACTAATGACCTAAAGATATAATTGTACGTCCTAATCAACAGTTTGAAAATCATTTTGTTTTCAGACATCAAGAATTTAATTTAAATTGTTTGTTCTGCAATACGTCAGGCTAAGGAGTAGCCATAGCTTGAAAACTAAAACTTAATTTTATACCTTAAGGTTTGTACAAGGTGACATTCGTTAATATTACTTGACCATACAGGTTAGGTCCACTACTGTGCGAAATAACTGGGTTCGCAGGAGGGCTTTTTGGATATGGATCAATCGTCACCTTAGCCGTGATTTCCATTGACCGATATAACGTCATCGTTCGGGGATTTTCTGCGTCACCTTTAACACACGCTCGATCAGCCGTTTTTATTCTCGTTATCTGGGCATGGACTCTAGGCTGGGCTCTTCCCCCTTTCTTTGGCTGGGGACGTTATGTGCCAGAAGGAATTCTTAATAGGTAGGTTATCATATTTTTATATCTCACATATCTCATCGATCCCCATAACCTGTATGAATAGTTTTTATCTTCAGCACAGTAGGTATTGTGCTGAACTAGTTTTTATCTTCAGCATAGTAGGTATTGTGCTGAACTAGTTTCTATCTTCAGCACAGTAGGTATTGTGCTGAACTAGTTTTTTTATCTTCAGCACAGTAGGTATTGTGCTGAACTAGTTTTTTATCTTCAGCACAGTAGGTATTGTGGTGAACTAGTTTTTTTGTTATCTTCAGCACAGTAGGTATTGTGCTGAACTAGTTTTTTTTTGTTATCTTCAGCACAGTAGGTATTGTGCTGAACTTAAATTCAAAATTTTGGATTCATCACCATTTTCTTTAATTTTTAAAAAATAAATAAGGTAGTCACCACACCTTTATTACTCAAAATAAAAAAGCAAAGAAACAAATAACTGGAAAAATGAGAAGTAGTTGATGACATTGAAGGATCAGAGAGGTGCCGTGATTGCTGGGTCATTCTGTACTTAAATATTAGTTTGTTTTAGATACCCCAAAGTTATATCGAGTGCAAATCGTGGTTTGATAGGTAACGCCAAAATTGGCGAAATGTCATTCTCCACTCGATGCATTAGGTTTCAAAAGTCTTAAGTTACCTGCGTACTGCACGTTTCCAGTGAAGACAAATAAATAGTATTTCAACGTCAACAGGCGAATTCTAGTGTTTTTCTCACCAGAATCATCGGATTTGTAATTCTCCAGATGTGAAAACCTAGACTTGGAAGGATCCTCGGCTTATCGACGACATGTTTTAGCCAAAGAAGCTAACGCGTTTCAAATACCGCAAGGTTCAACTTTAGCTTCATTGGTTGTTAATGGGGGAATTTGGCAGAAGCTATCTTCACTGACTGTTAACGGGGGAATTTGGCAGAAGCTATCTTCACTCACTGTTAATGGGGGAATTTGGCAGAACTATCTTCACTGATTGTTAACAGGGGGAATTTGGCAGAAGCTATCTTCACTCACTGTTAACGGGAGAATTTAGCAGAAGCTATCTTCACTGACTTGTTAACGGGGAATTTGGCAGAAGCTATCTTCACTGACTGTTAACGGGGGAATTTGGCAAAAGCTGTCTTCACTGACTGTTAACGGGGGAATTTGGCAGAAGCTACCTTCACTGATTGTTAACAGGGGAATTTGGCAAAAGCTACTTCACTGACTGTTAACGGGGGAATTTGGCTGAAGCTACTTCACTGACTGTTAACGGGGGAAGTTGGCAGAAGCTATCTTCACTGACTGTTAACGGGGGAATTTGGCAGAAGCTATCTTCACTGACTGTTTTATATCCATATTTTCCCATACATTAAGTGCCCTGGTTGAGGTATAATACTTTTATTGTATTTCCTTTGCAAAAACTGAAGATAACCTATAATATAATAAGTTTACCATCTCATAATCTTCCGAGATCAGCTCCCCACTATCATTTTTAAGAGGCCTAATCCCCATCCTTACATTTTGCTTACCCGTCATATACCTAAAGAATTCCTTATTGTTTGATTTAACTCTCTCAGTTAACCCTCTTTCATACACAGTTTTTGCCCTTTTAACCAACTCTCTTGATTTCCTATAGTCCTTGTTTCCAGAAAGTTTAAATTTCTTGTTTTTATCCCTAATATGATCTATTAAACCATACTGGCTTGTTCTGCTCTGTTGTCCTTTTTTTCCTGTAGGGAATATGTATGTTCTGTATGCACATTGATTTCCCCCTAAATGCTTCCTACACCTGTTAAAGATCCCCTCTCAACTCTTTAGTCCAATATACAGAAGCCAGGTCATGTTTCAGTCCATCAAGATTGGCTTTCCTGAAATTTGGAATCAGGGTACTATTCTTCCTTAATTCTACATGTAGTAAAATCCCAATGGTCACTTGTACCTAAATGTTCACCAACCACAACTCTATCATATTCACATCAGATACTCATATTAAATCTAATATTGCTTCCTATCTTATAGGTACCATCACTAGCTGGTGTATAAAAGTATCCTGAACAATTTCCAAAACCTATCTCCCTCACTGTAAGACCCGAAACTTTCCCAATCAATACCCCTGAAATTAAAATCTCCCATAATAACAACATTATTTCCAGCTACCATTCTGATCTCATTATAAAGTTTCTCATTAACCTCTACATTCTGACCTGGTGGTCTATAAGAAGTCCCAATTACAAGACTTTTCCCTTTATATCCACTAACCCTAACCCAAACTGACTCAACCTCAGTGCTATTTTCTTTAATATATTCTAACTGAACAGAATGAAATTCATTCCTCACATATAAAGCTGCTCTTCTTCTTTTTTTCAATACTCTATCTCTAGTAAATTATCTGTATTCTGGTATTTTAAAAAAAAAACTATCTCAGTAAAATTGGTCAAATCCAACAAAGTCTCAGTGATACCCATAATATCAAAATATTCAGTTTCCACAACTACTCCCAGCCATACAATAGTAACAATAATCATAAATCTTAAAATACGTTCACATTTTATGCCTGTTGTGCATGTTTTCCTGTCAATTATATTTCATATTTTATTAATATCGTAGCAATCACCTCTGTCTAGCCCTAGTATAAACCTACTACTATAACCGAGTTAATAGCCCTTGCTAACATGCTAGCCCCTGCCTTGTTTAAGTGTAAGCCATCCATTCCAAAAAAAACTAACTTTCCCATTAAAATTACCCCACAAACCCAACCAGCCTATTTTCTCACCCCTACCTATTGATCTGAGCCTGGCATTCAATCCTAGTGACCTACTTAGTATCTCATCCCTGCAATTTATTATTGGCAATATCCCTGACAAAATCAAACTATGACCCTTTTCCTCAAATGCCCTTATCAATGTTTTATACTTATCAATAAGCTCCTCAGATCCATCTTTCCTTACATCACTAGCCCCAACATATACC